ACACCTCACTTTAGAATTCCTTCTTCTTTTGCAATTCGAGTCAAGGCATTGAAAACATGTTTATAGTTATGACGTTCCGACAAAGGCTGTCGACCATCTAAAGTCATTCGTACCAAGGCAATTTCAGCTGGTGTGCCAATAAAGGAACCGAGTCCACCGGCTACAACGCCCAACATTAAATTTGTAAAGAATAGTGGTGTACGACCATCTGATGTCTTAAAATGTTCAAAAAGAGTTTGATAAATTCCAAGACATGCAGTTGTGTAGGTTGCTTGACGAAAGAGACCGGCTGAAAGACTGAGAAAATAGTGGGTTATGCAATCGTACATTCTGCAACAGCCGTGAGTTACACTGTTTACACGGCGTAAAGTCCTCGAATTCCTTCATTTCGAAAGATCGATTGAACTGCATGAAAACTTGTTTTATGTTCTTTAGCTTTGCCGCCTTCGCCTAAAAAAGAAACTTTTGACTAATAAAAAACAAAAATACTTCAAAGGAAGTTACCGCTCATTTGCAAGCGATTTTTAAGCAAGTCCATTGGATTAACGAAGAGTGTAGCCGAAATTCTAGAAGGAAAACAAAATTTTGAATAGACGTTTTCGAGGACAGAAAACAATCTTGTTCTTACCCTGCCAGACCACCAAACAGAAATTTTATGTAGTTCGGAGTGTTAACAGTAGGCTTCGATGCATCTGTAGAAGCTTTTACTGCTGGTAAGCCAGCGTCTTTCGAACTTATCTGAAAAAGAAGAGGAAGACAAGATACTTTAAAGCCTTCTCTGAAGAAAACTAATACTTTTTTCATCGTGTGTAAAGTAAAATCGGCCCGTCCAAGCGTAACGGCGTGATACACCCGTTTTTGACTGAGTATTTTTTGATCAATAACTCGACGAAGAAGGAATCAAAATCGCTTTATTTTCACATCAGAAAATAGCTGGAACTTGATTTTGCATAAAGCATTTCGGCTTAGATTCGACAAGTGAGATTTTGCTTGTCTGTCTTAGAATTACTAAGAAAAACTCACCCTTCCCAGTTTTAAGGACTTTCGTGGCGCTGGTACTATTTTTGCGTTCTCAAAAACTGTAATCGACTCCGAAAAAAAAGTAGTAGAAATACTTTTCTAGGCTTTAAGCTGCCTCTTCATCGTGGACTAAACATTTTGAAAAAAAAACCTTAGTCGTTGAAGTGTCGCGTTTGCAGCACAAGCCGTATAGTAACCCTTACCAGAAAGAAACAAAGATGACCTTTTTCTCGACCTCTATTGTTTCACTTTTTTTTCCTGTTCTGTACATATGCGTTCTGTTTCTTTGTCTCTTAGTGGTGCATTTCTTGTACAGTACGGAAGGAGAGAGAGAGAGAGAGAGAGAGAAGGGAAGATGTCAGTGAAGTCAGGGAGAGAAAATGTTCGATTGTTCAGTCAATCTCATAGTCACAAAAAAAAGGACAGAGAGAGAGATCAACGTTATACGCATACCGAGGCAAAAAAAATGGTCAATTTTTTTGGCTACTCTTAACTTTTTTCTCTTTCCTTTTTTTATTCGTCGACATGCTTTATGTATTGAGATCTCAAACCTGCTTTTTGAAATGCTCATACTTCACAAAACGAAATACGAATGGATGATTAACGAGACTCTATATTTACTTCTCCTTTTTTTCGTTTCATACAAAAATATAGAACAAGTACAGCAATGCAAAATCAAATTTGACCAAAAAAGAAAACCTCACAATTTGTTTATAGGGGGAAACGAAAAAAAAGAAAAGTAGCCGATGCATGAGTATATCAGTAAAGTAAATAAATAGACGTAACTGACATGAAGCAAAAGACTTTTCATTCAGTCCAAAGACTTTTTTTCTTTCTTATTCATGGTGCAATATGACTAGATATGAAAAACAAAATGAATCAGTGGTGGTATTGCACAACTTATTTTTTTGCTTGTGTAACAACATCTCTTTTACTCTAGTTAAAACTCATTGTTTTCCTCTTGAGAACAGAAATTTCTTTTGTAGAGTGCACTATAGAACACAATATTTTGAATAAAGAAATAAAAGCTGCTTGATAACAGCCGAGCTAATGAGCGTGAGTTACTATGGCCAAAATCTAATACTTGCAATATTATGTCTTTAGGACATCCAAGGGATATCTCAAATGACTTGTTCAACTGCTCATCATCAACATAAGGTTTCGATCTCACAAGTTAGCCTCACATTTGAAAAGTAGGACTCACGAGGAACTCTTTAGAAATAGAAAAGAGTTGCAGGGTTTTCTTGAATCTTTTCTCGATTTCAGTTCTGAACATCAGCACCTTGAAACGCAGATGGAACCAAAGAAACGCGCCGCTGATGTAAACGATAATCTGGAAAAGATTCAGAAGCGTTCGAGAAGGTAACGTGAAAAAAGACGAAGGAATGTAAGAGTACAAAGAGAATTTTACTTCAAGGTTTAACAAACGATTATAGACTGACTTTTTTTGACTGTGTCGTTGCACTTTTAAAAAGAGTGAAACGAAATGCACTAAAACTGTATGTCAGTCATATAAGAGCTAATGAAGAGGAGATACATTCGTGTTGCGAACAAGAACAAAAATGAAACTGAGGTGC